GTTTTCTTCTTTTAAAAGCTTTTCATTCGCGAATCTGGTAACATGTCTGGAAAAAAGGGAGAGCGAAAGAGTTAAGCCATAGCTCTCCAAATGCCTAAAATAGACTCGTCAACATTTGACGAATGTTAGTAAAGCCTTGAGGAGAAGAGACTAAAGACGGTGTCTTCTTTCTGTGTCTTCGGGGTATGCTGTCAAAATAGGCAAGAATGCTGAATAATGTAGATGATTTATGCGAGCCTCCGAGTTGACTCGTCACTTTGCGTAACTATCGCGACTGCGATTACTTGAGCTTTATGCCCTATTCCGTCCGTTTGGGGCGGGTGGATACAAATTGCCACCTACACGGTCTTGCGAGTGAGCAAAAATGGGCATAAGTTCTGCCGTCTCGCCGTCGCTTCAAGTTACGAAAACTCACCGGCCCATCGCTAAATGCTGTATGTACATACGATATCGGAGCTCTTGGATGATAATACAAAGTGATCTGATGATTTCAAGCCTCGTATGATATTTGTATGTGTGTGTTTATGTGTCTTAATGGGATGAGCCGGTGAGCTTGCTGGACTTGTTTGCTCTGATGATGTCCGTCATACAATGCACGAAAGCTTGACACGTTTTCGCCGGAATCGAGGGAGATTAACTCGGAAACAGCGCCAAGAAGAATGCTCCAGTAAAGCCAAGTCAGATCCGCCGTTGTCTTCTGGTGGGATCGAACTTTGAATCACTTCGATAGACACTTTCACTTGAAGTGGAAGTAAACTTAACAATTATGGAGACAAATGCAGAAAATCCTACTATTCTGTACTTCAATAATGACATTTTGAAATGCATTTTCTCATCGGCTTGTCAATTTCAAGTGCCTTTGAGATGTCATTTTGACAATTTCATCTTTTGTCCACAAAAAAATGTAAACAGCAGCCCTCGTTTGAGACAACTTTGGGCTTCTCTACTCACGAGCACAATGAACAGGTTAGAAACCAACAACTTGCCTAAAGAAATGAAAAGTCAAGACTTTAGACCTTGCGTTAAGCTGATTATTTTGCAAAAATGCGTCCCAGGTCGGAGAATGTTTGTTGGGGGGTACTTTCATTTCGTATGAAAGTGCATGAAGAGGAGATTCGTTGCTCGATCTCACCAGAAGAGGACGGATGACTCGCGTTGTACTGCAGCCGTTTGGCTTTTGCACGACGTTCAGGTTGAGGTAGCCCACGAATCATCCTCTCTCGTTTTGCGTGAAAACGGACTGAGCTTTCGTACATCATTCGCTGGACATCATCAGAGTTGGGTCTCATTCCCGTAAAAGTGTCACGTTAAAACTCGGTCAAGAAGACAATCCGGCTCCATCTTGCCATTAATTTAGACTCAATTAAGCAAAATTAACTTACAAATATGGAGTGGTTTAGCCAATTATCATTCATACATTTGCTCGAGTATGTGCGCTAACTCCGAGGGTAAGCCAGGAAGAGATGTTTATGGGAAGCTTAATTCTCTTTCCAACCATAGTTACAAGACTATGGTGGGAGTTTTGAAGTCAATGCTTCTAGGAACTATGAAACTGACGGATAGTAAACATTTGACCAAAGAATTGGAACGGCTGACAAATATATTCCTGGAAAATAATTCTCATTTGGGCCTAATTGAAAATAATATCTCTTTACTGAGGAATACATTTTTAGATGGAGACTATTTAATCAAAGAGAGACAAACTGAGACCTTTTCCCACGTCCTAATTTTGCCGTCATGTTTTCTCTCAAAAAAATAGGCGAATTAGTGAAGAAGTGGGGCATAAAAATAGTGTTCAAAGAAATCCTTTCTTCTGTTATGCCATCTTTTAGAGAGAAATATGATCCTTTATCGACATCCGGCTGATACAAGATTGTTTGCTCATGTCGACCTATTCAACAAAGATTGGAAGAACACAAAAATGTTTGCAAAGAAGCTGGCCGAACACTTTAGAAACTGGACATGAAATAAGATGGTCTCAAACTAGCAGGTTTGCTGATTACGGTACGTCTGTGGTTAAAAGAAAGATAAGAGAGGCTTTTGAAATGAATATTTTAGGAAATACGTTGAATGTGAAGAGTGGTGTTACAAATTTAAGTAGGAACTACTTACGCTTGATTGATAGATTGAAAGAGAGAGAGAGAGAGACGACTCAATTTGTCTGCTCACTGATGATTCCAACTTCACTCACACATCAACCTCATCAATCAAACCAGACATGTCAGATTACGCTTGGAGGGTCAGACGTTAATGAACCTTGACTGAATGGTTATGACAAGTGGTTTCGTAACTTGACTTACATGCTTACAAACTCATATCTCATCATCTCAACCATACCTGTTTACGGACCTACGCAGTCTCAGTCAAGGCTTTCTCTTGGGCCATTAGGTCTTGATGATCAGAGCCTGAGATTCAACCTTTGACAACTCTGATTTAGGACCGGTATTGAGTATAGACGCTTACACACACACACACACACACATATATATATATATATATATATATATACGCATGTACTCGATTATGAACGATATTTAGCCAAACCACTCTATATCTATCTATCTATTTATCTATCTATCTATTAGGGTTTTTTTTTTTTTTTGGCTTAATTGAGTTAATATAGAAAGAGCAAGATAGAGCTGGATTGTATTCTTGACCGAGTGTCAACGTGACACTTTTACGGGAATGAGACCCAGCTCTGATGATGTCCATCGAATGATGGACGAAAACTCTTCGTATCTACACTGAGAATGTTTGTCGCGTGGAATGATGGACGAAAGCTCAGCCATTTTCCAGCCGAGGCAAGGGAAGCTGTTTCGTGGATTGCGTCAGCCGGAGGGTCTTCATCATGCACTTTCATACCAAATGAAGGCCTCCCAAACACTGTGTCTGTGTGTGTATGTATGTATGTGTGTGTGTGTGTGT